CCACTTTGATTTTTGCAGAGAACAACTCAGAGGTAAGAATGAACACGCAAGAATGAACATGCAGGGGGATAAAGGATCCCCCTGCCTAATCCCTCTTGAGGCAGTGATAAAACCTTTTGGGTGGCCATTCGGATTAAAAGAAAATGAGGGGCTTTGAATACAAGCTAAAATCCATTTAATGGAACCCCATTCTCAACATAGTCAGTTGCACAGATTTCCATTCCAAGCTATCATAAGCTTTAACAACATCTAACTTTACATCCATAAAACAGTTCTTGCCAGATCTGTGTCTACTTAGAAAATGAAACACTTCATGCCCCAGAATCACATTATCAAACAAGCTTCTACCAGAGGTAAATGCAGATTGATTCTCAGAGATGCAAGAGTGCAAACACAGCTTCAGTCTACTAGCCAGAATATTAAAGATCACTTTATAGAACACAGCACAGAGACTTATGGGCCTGAACTGAGAGATAGCAGTAGGATTAATGCATTTAGGTACAAAGGTAATAAGAGTATGCTTCTAGTACCTTAGCATCTTATTTGAATCAAAGAAATTCTGAACTGCACAGCAGATATCCTTCTTGATGATGGGCCAAAAATGTTGGAAAAACAATCCAGTCATACCATCTTCACCTGGAGATTTCTCAGGATGAATAGAAAAGACAACCTTCTTAATATCAGCTTCCTCCACAGGGGCAATTAACAGCCTGTTCATGTCATCTGAAATGGTCTTCTCAATGTTGGGCAGGAACTCATGGCCATTACTAGATCCTTGGTAGTGAACAGATCCTCATAATAAGTACTGATAGCCTTCTCAATCTCTGCCATATTAGAGCTCATTCTATCTCCATCAACCAAAATCCTTTCAATAGCATTTCTCTTTCTTCTCTGCATCAAAAAAGCATGAAAGAATTTTGTATTGTTGTCCCCTTCCTTGAGCCACAGAGCACGAGCCTTTTGCCTCCAGAAAGCTTTCTCAGAAAAATTCTCTTCATTCAACTCTTGTTGGATTCTTTCCCAGGCTTCCCAATTTTTGTCCCCTCCTTCTTTCCTCATCTCAGCTAGTTGAAGGGAGAGTCTGTCAATCTTGGCAGCATTTTCTGATTTGAAATGTCTACTCCAAATGAGTAAAGCCTTCCTAGCCTTCTTGATTTTTTCTTTAACCATAAACATAGGGGTGCCTTCCAAATTTCCCTCCCAAGCAGATTGAACCACTTCCTGAGCCTCACTCCTTTGAGTCCACCATTTATCAAAAATAAATCTCTTTGTCTGTTTGTTGGAATCTCCCTGGGTATTAATCACCAACATACAATGGTCAGAGGCACTTCTGAACCAACTAGAGACTCTGGTAGCAGGATAATTGGATAACCACCCTAGTGACACAAAGACCCTGTCAATAAGTTCTTCAACAAAGTCCTTACCAGCTCTGTTGTTGGCCCAGGTAAACTGTAATCCCCTCAGAGGGAGTTCTTGGACCCCCATGTTATTGAGAAAGCCATTGAACCCTCTGAAGCTGTTGTCAGGTCTAAGCCTTCCCCCTTTCTTGTCCCTAGAACTTCTCAAGTCATTCCAGTCACCTGCCATCCACCACCTCTCACCCCAATTTGGCTTCTCATCTAACAGTCTACCCCATTTAACCTCTCTCTCAGATTTTATAGGACAGAGGTAACAAAAATAGCCCAACCAAAACAATTCTCCTTAGAAATCTGAAACTGCACAGCAACAAAAAAAAAAAAAA